GAAGTAACAGTAGGCTGTAACCCTACTGTCGCTGTTTCAGGACTATGTATAAGCTAGGGAAGTAACAGTAGGCTGTAAACCTACTGTCGCTGTTTTAGGACTATGTATAAGCGAGGGAGACATATTTAGCGTTGCGTTGTCGTGAAGTAACAGTAGGCTGTAAACCTACTGTCGCTGTGTTAGGACTATGTATAAGTTAGGGAGACATATTTAGCGTTGCGTTGTCGTGAAGTAACAGTAGGCTGTAAACCTACTGTCGTTGTTTCAAGACTATGTATAAGCTAAGGAGACATATTTAGCGTTGCGTTGTCATGAAGTAACATTAGGCTGTAAACCTACTGTCGCTGTTTTAGGACTATGTATAAGCTAAGGAGACATATTTAGCGTTGCGTTGTCGTGAAGTAACAGTAGGCTGTAACCCTACTGTCGCTGTTTCAGGACTATGTATGAGCTAGGGAGACATATTTAGCGTTGCGTTGTCGTGAAGTAACAGTAGGCTATAAACCTACTGTCGCTGTTTTAGGACTATGTATAAGCTAAGGAGACATATTTAGCGTTGCGTTGTCGTGAAGTAACAGTAGGCTGTAACCCTACTGTCGCTGTTTTAGGACTATGTATAAGCTAGGGAGACATATTTAGCGTTGCGTTGTCGTGAAGTAACAGTAGGCTGTAAACCCACTGTCGTTGTTTCAGGACTATGTATAAGTTAGGGAGTCATATTTAGCGTTGCGTTGTCGTGAAGTAACAGTAGGCTGTAAACCCACTGTCGCTGTTTCAGGACTATGTATAAGCTAGGGAGATATATTTAGCGTTGCGTTGTCGTGAAGTAACAGTAGGCTGTAAACCCACTGTCGCTGTTTTAGGACTATGTATAAGCTAGGGAGATATATTTAGCGTTGCGTTGTCGTGAAGTAACATTAGGCTGTAACCCTACTGTCGCTGTTTTAGGACTATGTATGAGCTAGGGAGATATATTTAGCGTTGCGTTGTCGTGAGGTAACAGTAGGCTGTAAACCCACTGTCGTTGTTTCAGGACTATGTATAAGCTAGGGAGATATATTTAGCGTTGCGTTGTCGTGAAGTAACATTAGGCTGTAACCCTACTGTCGCTGTTTTAGGACTATGTATAAGCTAGGGAAGTAACAGTAGGCTGTAAACCTACTGTCGCTGTTTTAGGACTATGTATGAGCTAGGGAGACATATTTAGCGTTGCGTTGTCGTGAAGTATCAGTAGGCTGTAAAAATACTGTCGCTGTTTTAGGACTATGTATAAGCTAGGGAAGCAACAGTAGGCTGTAAACCCACTGTCGCTGTTTTAGGACTATATATAAGCTAGGGAGACATATTTAGCGTTGCGTTGTCGTGAAGTAACAGTAGGCTGTAAACCTACTGTCGTTGTTTTAGGACTATGTATAAATTAGGGAGACATATTTAGCGTTGCGTTGTCGTGAAGTAACAGTAGGCTGTAAACCTACTGTCGCTGTTTTAGGACTATGTATAAGCGAGGGAGACATATTTAGCGTTGCGTTGTCGTGAAGTAACAGTAGGCTGTAACCCTACTGTTGCTGTTTTAGGACTATGTATAAGCGAGGGAGACATATTTAGCGTTGCGTTGTCGTGAAGTAACAGTAGGCTGTAAACCTACTGTCGCTGTTTTAGGACTATATATAAGCGAGGGAGACATATTTAGCGTTGCGTTGTCGTGAAGTAACAGTAGGCTGTAAACCTACTGTCGCTGTTTTAGGACTATGTATAAGCGAGGGAGACATATTTAGCGTTGCGTTGTCGTGAAGTAACATTAGGCTGTAACCCTACTGTCGCTGTTTTAGGACTATGTATAAGCTAGGGAAGTAACAGTAGGCTGTAAACCTACTGTCGCTGTTTTAGGACTATATATAAGCGAGGGAGATATATTTAGCGTTGCGTTGTCGTGAAGTAAAATTAGGCTGTAACCCTACTGTCGCTGTTTTAGGACTTTGTATAAGCTAGGGAAGTAACAGTAGGCTGTAAACCTACTGTGGCTGTTTTAGGACTATGTATGAGCTAGGGAGACATATTTAGCGTTGCGTTGTCGTGAAGTAACAGTAGGCTGTAACCCTACTGTCGCTGTTTTAGGACTATGTATAAGCTAGGGAAGAAACAGTAGGCTGTAAACCTACTGTCGCTGTTTTAAGACTATGTATAAGCTAGGGAGATATATTTAACGTTGCGTTGTCGTGAAGTAACAGTAGGCTGTAACCCTACTGTCGCTGTTTTAGGACTATATATAAGCTAGGGAGACATATTTAGCGTTGCGTTGTCGTGAAGTAACAGTAGGCTGTAAACCTACTCGTCGCTGTTTTAGGACTATGTATGAGTTAGGGAGACATATTTAGCGTTGCGTTGTCGTGAAGTAACAGTAGGCTGTAAACCTACTGTCGTTGTTTTAGGACTATGTATAAGCTAGGGAGACATATTTAGCGTTGCGTTGTCGTGAAGTAACAGTAGGCTGTAAACCCACTGTCGTTGTTTCAGGACTATGTATAAGTTAGGGAGTCATATTTAGCGTTGCGTTGTCGTGAAGTAACAGTAGGCTGTAAACCCACTGTCGTTGTTTCAGGACTATGTATAAGTTAGGGAGTCATATTTAGCGTTGCGTTGTCGTGAAGTAACAGTAGGCTGTAACCCTACTTTCGCTGTTTTAGGACTATGTATAAGTTAGGGAGTCATATTTAGCGTTGCGTTGTCGTGAAGTAACAGTAGGCTGTAAACCCACTGTCGCTGTTTCAGGACTATGTATTAGCTAGGGAGATATATTTAGCGTTGCGTTGTCGTGAAGTAACAGTTGGCTGTAAACCTACTGTCGCTGTTTTAGGACTATGTATGAGCTAGGGAGATATATTTAGCTTTGCGTTGTCGTGAAGTAACAGTAGGCTGTAAACCTACTGTCACTGTTTTAGGACTATGTATAAGCTAGGGAGACATATTTATCGTTGCGTTGTCGTGAAGTAACAGTAGGCTGTAAACCTACTGTCGCTGTTTTAGGACTATGTATAAGCTAGGGAGACATATTTAGCGTTGCGTTGTCGTGAAGTAACAGTAGGCTGTAAACCTACTGTCGCTGTTTTAGGACTATGTTTAATAAGCTAAGGAGACATATTTAGCGTTGCGTTGTCGTGAAGTAACAGTAGGCTGTAAACCTACTGACGCTGTTTTAGGACTATGTATAAGCTAGGGAGACATATTTAGCGTTGCGTTGTCGTGAAGTAACAGTAGGCTGTAAACCTACTGTCGCTGTTTTAGGACTATGTATAAGCTAGGGAAGTAACAGTAGGCTGTAAACCTACTGTCTCTGTTTTAGGACTATGTATAAGCTAGGGAAGTAACAGTAGGCTGTAAACCTACTGTCGCTGTTTTAGGACTATGTGTAAGCTAGGGAAGTAACAGTAGGCTGTAAACCTACTGTCGCTGTTTTAGGACTATGTATAAGCTAGGGAAGTAACAGTAGGCTGTAAACCTACTGTCGCTGTTTCAGGACTATGTATAAGCTAGGGAAGTAACAGTAGGCTGTAAACCTACTGTCGCTGTTTTAGGACTATGTATAAGCTAGGGAGACATATTTAGCGTTGCGTTGTCGTGAAGTAACAGTAGGTTGTAAACCTACTGTCGCTGTTTTATGACTATCCTCTGAAGCCTAGGTATTGCAGCTGCGATAGGTAAATTATATGTATTAAAAGCCTAAATGGAGTTTGCTGTCTCAATTTCGTTGAAATATGAACAGGGCAAATAAGATAATTAAGGTAAGATAAGATTGATCCATGCACTTCTTCTTGGTAACGAGTGTAATAACAATAAGTCGTCATCACTATCACTCATTTTTTTCATTCATGAGACAACAAGCCCGGGCTCACACTAAGGAGCTTGCAGAACAAACATCCTAGGTAAAAGAACTAAGTGAGGGTGTTGTACTCTTTTGACTCCGAGTGAACAATTGGACGTTTGGTACGTTTCCGGGTGGCGTGGAATAGCCACGTACTGGAGGGCCGTCCGTGTCAAAAGGCTAACGGTTACTTCAACAAGATTTTCCGAAACAGAGGACCGGTTATCATTTTATATATTTATTTGTATGTATGAGTTATGTAACTAGGACTGTTAAAAAGTTCTATTATCTTTTTCTCAAAACTTATACAGTAAGTTTAGAGTATAATAGTGGAGAAAAATGGCATTTTTTACTATTTTGCTGAAAAATCAAAAGCCGAAATCGGTTAAATTATTCATTCTCTAATAAACCTTCTCGGGCGCTAAAGCGGTTTCTAAAATTTTCATGGGAACCATCTGACCGGTGACATTTCACAAATACCAGGCAGGTACAGTAAATATAGCCAAAGGTCGTGTCTCGGACTGGAGGAGTCTCATAAGTAAGAACATAACGTGCAAGAGACCATTGAAATGTAAAGTTCAGTATTAATTTATCGCCGGGCTGTAAATGCGGGCAAGATAGGATCAAGTATTCCTGGTTTTAATACGTTGGATGAAATGAACCAATGTCTCATATCGCCATTGGTTCGTGGTCAAACATGCGCTCGTTGGTTTTCAATTTTACTGGAAAGCCATCATCTCTTATTAGTTTGAATATCATTGTTGATATCTAACCGGGAGTTTTCTGAGGTTTCTGACACAGCTGATGGCTATGCCAGTAATGTTGTTATCAACTAAATATAATTAATTCTTGTGTCATTTTATCTCGACATTGATGAAGAAACAGGTTCGAAAACTGGCTCTAAATTTCCATCTATTTAACAAATATTTTTCTTTTCCATTGCCTCATCAAAATCCACATAATATTTTATTTATCGGTAATGAAGTTGCCTTTATATATTTTATATGTTACATCCCAACATTCGCCGTGGACAAACAATGTGTATGTGCTATTTGAAGGATAGCTTGTATGAAAAAATCCATTTTATGGAAAATTAAATAAATTGTTAGAAGTAAGCTAATCAGCCTTTATTCATTTGCAGGACAGAGAGCTATGCGGAGGAGGACGAGGCCGCAGAGAGCGCGGACACTGTGGGTAAACCGACAAGACTCACACGGCATAAGATAGTAGTGATGGGCGCCGCCAAAGTGGGCAAGAGTTCCTTGATATCACAGTTCCTCTACGGCACCTTCAGTGACAAATACAAGCGCACCGTCGAGGAGATGCACGAGGGAGACTTCTGCATGCCTGGCTGTGGCGCAGGACTCACCCTCGATATCCTGGACACCTCAGGGGCCTACGAGTTCCCCGCCATGAGAGCTTTGTCCATCTCCTCAGCGGACGCCTTCATTCTGGTGTACTCGGTGGTAGATTCAGCCAGCTTCGAGGAGGCGAGGGTGATCCGTGAGCAGATCCTGGAGACTAAAGGAGGAGCTGTTCCTATTGTGGTTGTAGGCAACAAGATTGATCTTGCTGATGAAAAGCGAGAGGTAGGCTTCGTATGTATTTTAGTGGTTTTCCCATAAAGGGAATATGCTATGGGAAAGGGAAGGTATCATAGTAAAACTTTCAACCGGGACCACTTTAATTTTTCGTGATGATGTCCCCAGAGGCAAAAACACCATCCGTTCAAATGCATACACTGTAGTTCACGAATCAGCATGATCGGAATATAGGAACGGGGTTTTATAGGGGGGGGGGGGGGTTATTAGATAAGAATGCCCATCCCCCCTCAAAATAAGCAATTTTTGCAGTTTATTTCTGAACCTACATGTATAGCCAAAAACATTTTAATATTGAAGCGTGGTTGTACGTCTAATGTTTAAGGGGAATATTATACAAAAAACTATAAATTTAAAATTCCCATGTTAATCTTATGTTTATTAAGATGGGAATTTTAAATTACAATAAGAGAACTAAATAACACACTTCCAATAAAAACATAATTTATTTATAATCCGCAACTGAACAGACTTCAAAAATGTCTTTCCGAGGCAAAACGAATAATGCAATACCCTTTTACCTTTTAAATATAAAGTTTTTTTAAAGACACTTAATTTTTAGTCAAATAGACGAGTAAAATATAAATTGACAATAATTGGTTAGCCTACACTTTTGGCTTGTATATCCATCTCATTAAGAGTAGTTTGCCTACCTCATTCAGGTTAAAAATGTCTCTCGCAGTAGCCTGGGCTATTTAAAATTAATGTTCATAAACGCTTTCGTTTTTTGTCAATTATATGACTACTAGGTGAAACCCGTCGAAATCGACGGTCACTGTCAAAGGCTTACGCTAATTATTCATCTACGGAAAGTTAGGTGTAGTGGAATATACTTGAAGTGAAGTTGGCTTTTACTTTTGAACTGTTATAATATGATAAAATACAGGCAAAAGTGGGGGAAAGGGCAGACAACAGCCCGTACAGCAGATTTAAGATAGTTCAATAAGAAATTATTGTAAGAGTTCTGTGATAAAATGAATTTCCACTGATTTCGTAATGGAATGTTATATTGCAAAACATGACATGATGCAGAAGAAAATAAATTTTAAAATCAGAAAATAGCATTGCAAATACTTCTTTTTGGACAATTTAGTAACTCCCAATAAATGTGTGTTGTTTAAAACACAATTGAAAAATCAACAGCTGTTTCATTGAAAAGTATTATCCACATGGCCAAAATGTGAACAAATTTGTCGAGGTATCTTTAAAGGCTTCTGGGGCAGAACCCTAAGGGAATTTACTTCGTGTTTCTTTTGATAACTCATCTACAGACCAAGGCCTTTCTTTGGAGACCTCTACCAAGTTTCCACGTCCAGCCGTTCTCTCAAATTAGTGGAGACAAAGTTTCCAATTAAATATTTAGATTTTCCCATGTTAATCTTATGGGAGAAAACCCAACTTTGATGGAAGATCCTGCCCAAACTAATGAGGATTTCAAAAAACCAAAAACACTTTGCAAAACTACAGATCAGGGCCATTTTTTTGACACTAAAATCATCAAAATCGGTCCAAGAATGTGGGAGGAGTTCTGTTTACAAAAATCGGCTTAGCGTATTATATATATAGAATGGTTATAATCAGCTGTTATTAAATTATAATTCACATTTAAAATCGTTAAAATACAGTAGGCTAGTTATTTCTCTACAGTCACCCGTGAAAGTGGGCTTCCTTGCACAGATTATAGTACACGAGAGAAATGTTCACGTACGATTCGCAGGCGAAGGTGGAAAGTTTCTCGAGTTCAGCAAAGGCAATTTGCGATCGTGTTAACATTATATTTTTCCTACAGTTACTATAAAGCATAGAAATACATTATTAACGCGTTTAGGTTAGGTTTTAACCTAACTTAAAAACGTCAGCGCTTGGATTTATCCAAGCGCTGGACGAAATTAGAAACACTACATCAGCTGATCGTAGTCGTGATATCTTTAAGTGCTGCCAACTTATTTTTAAGAGTACACATATTACGTGCCTAATAAAAGTAAACTGTTTTGTGTTGTTTGGTTGGAATACTGGAGTGCGGCAAAAGTAAGTAAATGCTGCAATTAGCAACTTTCTGTACTATAATCAGTGCAAGGAAGCCCAATTTATGACTGTAGGAAAAGAGTAATTGGAAATTCACAAAAATGACACCAAACTTGTAAAAATCAGTAGGTCTTGCGAAAAAATGATGATACAGAGAAAACAAGTTGGTTGTTTGTTGAGATTTACTCGGTAGTGGACTTTGGGTCCCAGGCAGTGATGGGGTTATGTTACTTGCCACTATTTTTTATCAGTATACTTGTACTGTACTGATTCACCCCTTGCTGCGCTGGATACCATTACGTTCCACGCACAGATCCATAGCCCATGTGAACAGGCAAATGCAAGGTTAAAATAGGTCACCTGTCTCTTAAAAAAAATCTTATTGTATTAAATGTGTAGCTAAATAATAATGTTTCTTTACTGAGGTGTTTTGGAATCTCTAGTCCGTAATATAGATAAACATACTCTCCTTTTTTTCAGTCAAGCTCTAATATTGGTTATCGGATGTTTAGACTACTACCTTTGGCCTACTGATACAGTAAAGACTGTGGCTTTTACAAGTGTTAATTTATGAAAGGGTAAAATTGCATAAGAAAAGTGATCTTGCTTACCATCATAATCCATAAACTTGAGTTAAGTTCCATCCAAATGGTTAAAAATATATGTTTCAAACTCTTGAACAAATTTGAAATTATGCCAATGCATTTTAGATATTCATAAAAATAAATTAGGTACGGTGCTAAGTACAGTTTACGTACGGAGTGTTTGTATTTGTCGTTATTTGATCATTCACTTGTAATCACCATAACTTAAACACAACATAAAGTATTCTATAATAAGTTACCTTTTTATGTAGCCTCTGATCTTGCATAAATTCTTGTGTTGCCCGCGATCCTAAAGGCTACATAACAAGGTAACTTAAAATTAAAAAATCATTTTCTAGTTCTTGCTTCTAGGAAAATAAATCAAAACTAGTAATAAATTATTCCTAGTTTATGGTGCTATTGAAAATGAATAGAGCATTTTTAAAGTTGCCAAGTTTTGTTAAACATTGCAAACGATTTCCAGGTGTCAGTAGAGATGGCGGAGTCCGTTGTGACAGTGGACTGGGAGAATGGTTTCGTGGAAGCGTCTGCAAAAGAAAACACAAACGTAAACAAAGTATTCAAGGAGTTATTAGTTCAAGCAAAGGTCAAGTACAATTTGAGTCCTGCGCTGCGGCGGAAACGACGACAATCCTTACCTCCTCCACAACACCAGGCTGGTAACCCTGCCATCCCCTCTGCAGCTCAGTTGGCTCATCTACGCAGCATCCAGGAGCGTCACACTGGGGCTGGTGGCAAACGTAACTCCTGCTCGATATCTTAAACTTGAACCGCTAGTTTGCAGTCTATTGACTTGTAAACTGTATAGTTTTGTTCTTTGAATTAGTTGCAATAGTTTGATTTATTTACTTTTATTCTTTGATGATCCATCATACTATATCTACTCTCATACACAAAAGGCTCAGCTACTGATCGAGAAGGCCTGCTGTTGCATACGCATATGTTATATATTTATCATGTTCATAGTTTTGTATTTCCTTCTACTAACTAAAATGTTAGATAAAAATATCACAAGCAATCTGTAACTTATTTAAATTTGATAACTTTTGCCAGTTTTTTACGTATATAAAGAGTAAATATTACCCTACACAAGTGGCAACTAGTTTAACTAGGTATATGGATAATCATTTTATATTGCAGGTGAAAATAATTATGTACAGGAAGATTTTGTATTGTTCTTCCTATTATTTTGTTCTTAGTATGTGCATGGATATCATTTGTAATCACCTTATATAATACAAATATTTTACTCTTATAAGATTTTTTCACGATCCGTTTTTTATCAGTAAAAATGTGGCCTATGAGCATGGCATGTGTTTTAAATATTATTATGTGTCGTGCATATTCTTGTGTGGTTAAAATTTTACTTCTATTTAGAAAAAATAAGTTATAACTGCTTCACTGTAATTTACGGCTAAAATACAGCTTTTAAACTTCCAAGAAAACCATTAATTAGTCATTCGTCCCTCTCTGAGCTTTTCTAGCTATCAGCAGAGCCTAAGTATTCATAATAGGATAAATAATTTAAAATCTTAAAATTAAACATCATACTTGGTCAGATAAGTGTTCAAGAACTTTCCTTCGAAACATGGATATTATTTTAATGTTATGGAATCCTGCTTTACTGAATGTTTCTTGGCTGAACTCTTTACCATATGAACTCTTTACCACATGAACTCTTTACATGTGCCATACAATGTCACATTTGTTCAGTAATGTTGGCATTGAAACTCTGCTATAAAACTCAGAGAAAGAGAAGTATCTCATGGTAAAAAATTAAAGATTATCTTTTTATTTCACCATTCTGGAAAGATTTGTAAAGATATTAGCTAAAAACTGTATGAATCGTTTAAAGAAACACATTTGAACAGTTATAGCTTGTCTTGTATGCAAATATATAAAAGTGATTTTGTGTTACAGAAGTGTCAATCCGTTATGAAGGATTCCATTTCATCACCTTAATTTTCATCAACTTGCAGTAACATTTTTTGTCTGGAAATTTGAAACACTTACAGAGTCATACTGATATAAGTTACAATATTACATTATTAGCATTTCCAAATTATCAAAGGTGCAGGTTAAAATACTTTTCGATTTACATTTGTTAAGGATGTCCTCAAGTTATTAATATGTGTGAGTTAAATCCATAATACTGAATGGATAAAAAGATATTTTTTGTCTTTGTAAGGCAAACTATAAAAGAGTGAACTAGACCCTTGTGTGACATTTTAGATAATTAATAACAACGACCATTAGTTGAATAGGCTTCGATAAATGTTTGTATGGTATGTTTAGGTTATTTTTTGTTTTATTAACTGGATTATATAGTTAAAACAACAGTTTCAGTTAAGTTTTCAAGGGTGTTTCTAAATTATAATAGATTTTCAATCTTCTCTGTAAGTATGTCTTTGTTATTTGGCTATAAACCGGCTCCAAGTCACTACCCGGACTCTAATCTGGATCGAAGGAATAAAACAAAACGATCGAGTTCAATAATGCTCTATTGTACCTGTTAACGTGTCTACAGATATATAGTAAGTATAAATTTTATGAAAAATCAAATATTCCCCCTCCATTGGTATAATACGTAGTTATGTATGAATGAAAAGTCAAACTCTCTTGATATATGAATATATAATTATGTCTCTATTTATCAAACAATTCTTACTTATCATTAATAAACAATCGTAAAAGAATAATGGATATATTAATCCACTCTTTGAACTACCTCAAATTGTTGATTATATAAAATGATACGTTTTAAACCAATAATATACAGTCATTTTTTACTAAATAGTTTTTTTTAATCTATTATCAGCGTCATGTATCAAGCACAGAATTATTTATTACTTCCATAATTTGTGACCCTCACCGAAAACCCAATTATAATATGGAAAGCTATCTTTTTATAGTCTTGGACATTCAAACTACTGTATATTTTTAGATATTTTAAGGTAAGCTACTTTAACACTTTACATGTTTAATTTAAAATATTATGTACAAGTTCTATTTTATATCATACTTATTCTCAATAATTTTCCCCCTAGCCTAAGGGTTATAGGAGTTTCCAAAGGCCTGTATACAGTATGTCCAACTAAGTGTGAATTTATGTGTATTATACAAACTGTGTGAATAAAAGATGTATCGGGTAACAAGCCTTTTGACTAGATGTAATTTTTTAAAGTTAAGTAGTATAATAATTAATTGGGTTTTTAGTCTAATTATTGAGCACCTTAGTTGTATTTTTTTACATCTAATGTATGTTTAAAATTCATAAAATTAATAAAACATTTTAAATGCAAATATATAAATTTATAACAATATGTATTTTTATTTTTAAAACAATTTATAACTTTTAATTTATTTCGATTGCACTTGCTTTATATATTGTTGTAGTATTTTTGTGCACTTTACAAAGACACGATTGTGAAAATATTATGAATTAATACTTTCACAAACATTCGTGACATTAAGGGGTTTTCATGTGAATAGTTTTGAATTTGCATTCAGGTAACATTTATAATTGTTTCATTTGTCACTAGTTTAATCTTTGTGTTCCACTGTATAGTTTTGGATGAGAGTTCGTTTAATATTTTAGTTATGATATATCGAATAGGACGGATTAGCACCATAGCCATTCAGAGCTCAGGATGATATGGTTACGGTGCTTTTGGTCCACATTGGTTTTGATATAAACAAAATAAAGTGACAACACGTTCCCACCTAAATGTATATTGATAGTATATTTTACCTTACACAAGCATGAGATTTAACTCTTGTATACCTGGCAAAAGAATTCCCACAGCATTTATATACCGGCTGAAATTATTCTAGCTTCAGGTTAGGATGTCTGGCGTAGTGAGAGACAGTGGTCATAGTAGTAGTAGGGAGGTCTCACAGGCCTTTTACAATTGTATTGGTAATAAAAGTGTTTTATGCAAACCCATCAAATGTGTACCAACCCACTAAATTTTGATTCAAAATAATTGTATATCTGTAATTGGTTTTGATTTAATTGTATTTTCTAAATTTATATAAACTATTACATCCAATTAAAAATAACGCTAGTCCTATTTGTAATAGGCTATTCAGTAATGTAGGTGCCACACTATATCGAAACCAATGTGTCAGTTTCCTGTAGAATTACAGTTAATATGAGTGTAAGAATAGTTTAGATGAGTGTAAATAAGTGTAAATATCCAACAGAATACACCAATTACTGTTTACTGTGTTAATATGGTTGCGGCTATAAGTGGAAGCTGGACTTTCTAAACTAATATGTGTCATAAACCGTGACTATAAAATCAATTATTCTTCTTGATATATGTATATAAATTAAAGAGGATAAAATGTATAGTGTCATTGTCTTTTACTTCCCTGTGGACTTTTATTCTGGAATTTAAGCAGTAGCACAGATAAAACATACTCCTATGTTTTATCTATGGCAGTAGTGGAGTTTCCATCGCATCAGTACACACCCATTTACCTTCCAATGTGGATACAGCCAACCTAGTACATACACCACCAGTATATTAAGATATGTCAATACCTATAATAATATAATATGATATAATAATACCTTTGCATTCAGACAACGAGGAGGCACTTTATAACTAACTTATTTGTTAGGCCCGAGACTCATTTCGTTTTCAATTCTGGTGTCCACTGAGACCAAAACACTTTTCCTTCTCTCTCTCTCTCTCCCTCTCTGCTACTCTGCTAGTAGCCAATAGAGAGAACGACCACTATGTAATTTCCAAGTTAGTAGTGTAATGGTAGAAGGGAAGTCTCAAGGGGGAGAATCGGTAAATTTTGGGTAAATAGTCTTTATAAAAGTCTTTATATGTCACATATAAAAAATCCAACGTCCATGATTTAGTTGCTATAAAAAAACTGTATATACTAGACAATATTATGAATATACATCTATGTATATGGCTTGGTGATTTGATTTAGCCATAGATAAAACATAGTATTTAGCCTATGCATACTAAATAGCTGCTTGCCTTTTATATCACGAATATGCCGTGCATTATTCTGCCTTTCATATATCCTTGCATTTCATATTCACTTTTTTTCGACTATCGTGAGTCGTTACCTTTATTGCCCAGATAACAAAATAAATTCTGCATTTTGGTCTGAACTTCTCTTGCTCAATGACACAGGGTTAAAAATAATTTGTGGTGATTTCAATGCTCATCATACATTCTGGAACTGCGACAAAACTAACCCTCGAGGCAAGGAATTGTTTGATGCACTCAATGATTCCCTCTACATTTTGGCCAATGACTGCTCCCATACTACTATACCTACTCTATACAGGAAACCATCAACCATTGACCTTAATTTCATAACTCCAGATTTATACCTGAATCTTAAAACCTGGAAAGTGGGGATGGACCCAATGGGTAGCGACCACCTCCCAATTTTTATTACTTTACACTACATCTCCAACAACTAAAAGCTTAATAAACAATAGAGGAATCAAATGAACGAAATGTAAAAAAGCTGACTGGAAAAAACACAGTAACATAATAATTGAGAATCTATATATTAATACGCAAGCAGTTTTCTTTTCACAGTCATAACTCGATAACGGATTGACGGATTTTTACGTTTGAGGTGTCAAATTAAAGTCATTTTCACGTAGATGTGCAAGTACGTCTCAGAATATTAAGAAAGGGCATCGCTTAAGTACAGTTAAGGGCTAAAGTTTGGGAACGGTGGCACTATATCTGTTGACATTAGATCAAACTCAATTCCCTTTGTTTAAAACTACGGATATAGACGTGAAATAGTTTTAAAGGTTAACCACAGACTGCAGAACCTATATTACTTCCAGAGCAAAGCCGGAATTTATATCGTTATTTTAACATCTGTTAAGTAAGCCTGCTTCATAAATAAATAGAGTCCTAGGAAGCTTGTCAACAAGTTGTTTGTAATAGTTGCATTTATTTAAATCTTAATTATTGTATAGTTTTGGTTACAGTTCGTTATGATTAACTGAATTTTTATAAAAGGGATTATTCATGGTGCAGTTACCCCTTACTTTACCATATATCATGTAATTTACAATGGGTATCAACATTTTTTTGGAGTGTTTTCTGTTGTTTGGTTAACTTTCGTATTTTATTCAAACTTTAAGTTAAATGGCAGCAGTAAGGCGAAAACTGTGAGAGACTGGAGGAAAGCGAATGTGACCGCTTGCATCGACCTCCCAATTGAACATTTGACAGAAACAGAGTGGCAGTTCTGCCGTTGTGCTCCATCCAACCTCAGACAAATTAACGTTAAATGTTTACATTATGGTGGGTTGCATTTAGCAAGAAAAGACTGGTTGAGACAGTTCAATGTTTACTATTTGTTGCCATAAATGAAAGGTTGTTGTATCCAGAGATCTCTCACCTGAACAGGTGGGCAAAGACGTATCCAGCAGGGATGATGCTATACACCTTTATTGTTGTTATGAAAAAAAACCGTAGCCCTAGCTTCCAAAAGGTAATGTACTGTAATTCCTAAGATGTCATTAGGCAAAGACACGATGTTCAGATACTATCCTCAATGGTTTTACAAACTAAATGATTTGTTGTACTGAAAATTTTAAAAACATTCCATTTGAACGTGTTGGAAAATGCTCATCTTGTCCGACCGGTGAAGATGGCTCCGAGTCATATAGCTGGGGGCTTCACTGACACCAGTACATCCCATCCTTGTGAGATCCTTGTCAGTCCCAAAAGCCTCCACAGATATCCTAGGATGTAATTGTTTATCCAAGTGTATATCTACAATGTAAACGCACAAGAAGAATCGAAAGACTTGCACCAAACTGTGCTAACGTTCTCGACAATGTTTGACCCTTTTAAATGGTTCATTCATTTTGTTCATATCTTCTTTTAAATATTGCAATTAACAATTTATTTTCTCTTAGATGGCCTTTTAGCGAATTTCCCTATAGGGAAGTAGCTATTACCGTAGGTCTCATGGTAAAACCTAAGCCCGGGACCGATTTACTTTTTCATTTTGATGTCCCCAGAGGCCAAAAACACCATTTGTTCAAATTTTTATATATCTATATATATATATATATATATATATGTGTGTGTGTGTGTGTGTGTGTGTGTCCATCCGCACGATAACTTGAGTAATTTCTGTCCGATTTTGATAAAATTTGGTTAGAAGGTGTAAGGCGGGATAAACTTGAATGAGTTCGCGAACCAGCATGATCGGACAATGGGAACGGGGGTTTATGGGGGGTTTTATGGGGTAAAAATGGGTTTTTCCCATTTTTGACCCTAAAAACACAAAATTTCACAATTTCTTTTTAAACCATTTTGTAGAGCTTAAAAAAACAAATAATTTAGTATATTGAAGCATTATTATGCGCCTAATTGTTACGGAGAAAATTCAAAAAAATTGTAATTTAAAAATTCCCATGTTATTCTTATGGACAATAAGTCAACTGTTGTAGTTTGCTTGTTTATGAACATATTTTGATTAAAGTTGGAAAATACATTAATTTCTTACTAAACCACAGTACTTTTTAATATTATACATAAAAAAAACTTTTTTACCCTCCCTGTTGCAGCAAACCTAAGTACTCATTAAACTAATTCTGTTTAAATAGGGAATAAATGTGATATTTTTAAGGAGACATTTTAGTTTAAATCCAATCAGGCAAATGGAAATTTGCTAAGTCTGCAGGTTTGCTGCGGCGGGGGTATTTCTCATATTTCTTGTTCTCTTCGAAGGACAGAAGTTTTGGCAGCTGATTTAGAACCTAGGTCCTACACAATCGTATGAAGTATATAATGGGTTTTTCAATCCATGTGGCATTAGAAGAAAAACCTTTATGGACGTTTAAATAATAATTTCAAACAAACAAACAAGGCTGATATACGGAAACAGAGTTTTTGGCGACCATATTGTGTGCCATCTTGGAAAATATTACCTCAAGGGTGGTTGTGATTACGTTTTGAGTATTGAAATGTGTTCGGCATTCCAATAAAACCCCTATGCAGACGGTTAAATTATTATTTTGGGCCAACTAATAAGAGAGATATGCGAAAACAGAGTTTTAGGACGCCATCTTAGGTGTCATCTTGGAACATATTCCCCTAAAAGTTTATGTAAGTAAATTTGGAGTATTGCAATGTGTTTGCAATCCGATAAACCCCTATGCAGATGTTAAAACTATTATTTTAGGCCAACTAAGAAGAGAGATATGCGTAAACAGAGTTTTAGGACGCCATCTTGGATGCCATCTTGGAACATATGCTCTTAAAAGTTGATGTAAGTATATTTTTAGTATTGCAATGTGTTTTGCACCTGAGAAAACCTCTATTCAGATGTTTAAACCAATATCTTAGGCCAAATAACAAAAGAGTAATGGGGCAAACAGGGTCTGGCCGCCATCTTGGATACCGCACTTCCGGTTCAAATTTCGCTTTGGCAACACGCAGATTTGTACTCAGCAGGGTCGAATTACCCTAAAAAATCTGTTTACCCAATCGTTACATGAAGTTTTTCTTGCATTCCTCTTTTTTAAAAACGTACCTTCTCCAATTATGTTTCGTTGTAAATTAATAACATTAATAATATATGGATTATTAAATTACAAATTATTAGATTTTGGTTATTAAATGATAAAGGATAATTACGTTTTTGTTACCCAAGCAGCTACAGGTTGAGTTCGGACATATTTCGTCAGTAAAAACTCAAATATAATCACCTCAATGTATATTTAATCCGTTTTAAAAGTAAAATCTTTATTAAAATCTAATTTATCACTTTTTTAAACGGGATATCACTGTAAGTGAAATGGAGACTCTTAAAGCAAATTTCGTCTTCTTTTCAACTATAAAAGAATTATCAAAATCGGTCGAAAAACGATGGAGTTATTTGCATTTTTCTCGATCAAGGTCAAGTCAGGTGGTCCGCCATATTGGATGGCAGCCATATTGGTACTCGACCAACGCCGATCGTGGCAACGTGCGTTTTCTTACTGTCCAAAGTGTCCTTAACAACAATCAAAAGAGAAAGTGCGTCCGAATAATTTTGCATACTCAACCCCAACCCCGGCCTGGTCTATTGAGACTTAGATCTAGACATTATTTGGATAAAATTCGTAGGTTCAATTCCGCCTTTGCCATTGTCAGCTCTGGAGCTTATTTAGATGAGAGGATCACACAGGGGATCGATCACCAATTTCAAGATCTATGACACGTTTTACCACCGAGTAGGTAATCAAATTCCTCAAGAAGGTCATGATCGTGAATACGCACAGATGTATAAGTACGACGTTGGCACTGGAACCCAACAGCGCAAACAATGAAAAA